GACTTCCTCCTCAGATCTAGAAAGAGCCATAGGTGAATTAATTTATTTTCTTTCTTCCTTCCTTCTTTTCTTTTCTCTTTTGCTTTCTTGCTTTCTTTCCTCCTGAGATCTATAAGGAGCCACTGGTGATCCCCTCCCCTCCCCTTCTCTCCTCTCCCCTCCTCTCCCCTCCCCTCCCCTTGCCTGCCTGCCTTTCTTTCTTTCCGGACAGAATTTCACTCTTTCACCAAGGCTGGAGTGAGGTGGCACTATCTCACCTCACTGCAACCAATGCCCCTGGGGTTCAAGCGATTCTCCTGCCTCAGCCTCCCAGTGGCTGGGATTATAGCTACCTGCCACCATGCCCCGCTCACTTTTTGTATATTTAGTAGAGATGGGGTTTTGCCATGTTGGCCAAGCTGGTCTCAAACTCCTGACCTAAGGTGATCCACCCACCTCAGCCTCCAAAGGGCTACAATTACAGGCATGAGCCACTGTGCCCAGCCCATTGGTGAATTTCAAGCAGTGGAAGGATATGAGCAGATGTGCAGTTCTGAAAGACCACTCCAGTGGAGAATAAAAAGAAGAAGAGGAATCAGAAAGTTGGGAGACTAGTGAGGATGCTGTTGCAGGGAAGCAGTATCGAGAAGATGGTGCCCTGGGAGGGGCATGGTGGCTCATACCTGTACTCCCAACACTTTGGGAGGCCCAGGTGGGAGGATCATTTGAGCCCAGGAGTTTGAGACCAACCTTGGCAACAAAATGAGACTCTGTCTCTAGAAAAAAAATTAAGAATCAGCTGGGTATGGTGATGCATGCCTGTAGTCACAACTCCTTGGGAGACTGAAGTGGGAGGATCCTTGGATCCAAGAGTTTGTCATTGCAGTGATCCAGGATTGCGCCACTGCACTTCAGCCTGGGAGACAAAATAAGGCTTTGTCTCAAAAAGGAAGAAAGAAGAAGGAGAAGAAAAAGGAGAACGAGAAGGAAGGAGGAGGAGAAGAAGAGAAGGAAGAGGAGGAGGAGGACAAGGGAAGAAGAGGAGGAGAGGAGGAGGAGGAGGAGGAAGAGGAGGAGGAGGAGTGGGAGGAGGAGGAGGAAGAGGAGGGAGGAGGAGGAGGAAGAGGAGGAGGAGGAAGAGGAGGAGGAGGGAGGAGGAAGAGGAGGAGGAGGAGGAAGAGGAGGAGGAGGAGGAGGAAGAAGAGGAGGAGGAGGAGGAGGAGGAGGAAGAGGAGGAGGAGGAGGAGGAGGAGGAGGAAGAGGAGGGAGGAGGAGAAGGAGGAGGAGGAGGAGGAGGAGAAGGAGGAGGAGGAGGAGGAGGAGGAGGAGGAGGAGGAGGAAGGAGGAGGAAGAGGAGGAGCCCTGGACTAGGAATGATGGTAGAATGGTGCAAATTTGAGTAGCTTTGAGAGAGACCAAAGATAAAATCAGCAGGACTTGGTGATGGGATGAAAGAGGGGAGATGTTAGAGACGACTATTAGGGATTTTGTTTGTACTGATTGGTTAGGTAAATGAGTGGGTGATGGTGCCATTCGCTAGGTTGAGCGACACAGGAGGAGAAGCCATTTGGGGAGAGATGATGAGTTCAGTTTTGAACATACTGTTTTGGTGTCTGCGGGACATCCAAGTAGGGATGTCCAGAAGGCAGCTAGACATATGTGTTTGGGTCTCAGTTGAAGGCTCTGGACTAGAGACACAGATTTGAGAGTCATTAGGTTGTAGGTGGTGGTTGAAGGCAAGGGAATAAATGAGGATAATCTCAGGTGGTTGCATAGTATAAGAAAAGAAGAGAAGGCTGGGCACAGTGGCTCACACCTGTAATCCCAGCACTTTCAGAAACCAAGGCAGGTGGATCACCTGAGGTCAGGAGTTCGAGACCAGCCTGGCCAACATGGCAAAACCCCGTCTCTACTAAAATATAGAATCGCTTGAACCTGGGAGGTGGACGTTGCCGAGATCGCTCCATTGCACTCCAGCCTGAGCAACAAGAGGAAAACTCTGTCTCAAAAAAAAAAAAGAAAGAAAGAAAGAAGAAGGCTGGGAAAGGTGACTCACTGACTCACGCCTGTAATCCCAGCACTTTGGGAGGCCAAGGCGAGCAGATCACAATGTCAGGAGTTCAAGACCAGCATGGCCAATGTGGTGAAACCCCATCTCAACTAAAAATACAAAATTAGCTGGGCATGGTGGCAAAAGCCTATAATCCCAGCTACTTGGGAGAATGAGGCAGGAGAATCGCTTGAACCCGGGAAGTGGAGGTTTCAGTGAGCCAAGACTGCACCATTGCACTCCACCCTGGGCAACAGAGAAAGACTCCATCTTGGAAAAAAAAAAGAAAGAAAGAAAGAAAGAAAAAAAGAGAGCCTGCCAGGTGTGTTGGCTCATGCCTGTAATCCCAACACTCTGGGAGGCTGAGGCAGGCAGATCACTTGAGGTCTGGAGTTTGAGATCAGCCTGAACAACATGGTGAAACCCCATCTCTACTAAAAATGCAAAAATTAACCGGATGCAGTGGTGCACGCTTGTAATCCCATCTACTCGGGAGGCTGAGGCAGGAGAATCACTTAAACCTGGGAGGCAGAGGTTGCAGTGAGCTGAGATTGTGCCACTGCACTCCAGCCTGGGCAACAGACTCAGTCTAAAAAAAAACGAAAAGAAGAGAGCCTAAGCACAAACTCCAGGGGCAGGGGAATCTATGAAGGCCCAACCAAACAGGTAAGAAGAAAACCAAGAAAATTATAGGGTCACAAAAATTATGGTCACAAAGGCCAAAGGGAGAATCCCAAGGGGCAAGGGGCCATGAGTATGCAGTCTGCAAAATCAAGTAAGATTACAGTGGAGAAGGCCAGGCGCAGCGGTTCACCCCTGTAATCCCAGCACTTTGGGAGGTCGAGGTGGGAGGATCACCTGAGCTCAGGAATTTGAGACCAGCCTGGCCAACATGTTGAAACTCTGTCTCTACTAAAAACACACACACAAAATTAGCCAGGCATGGTGGCAGGTCCTAGCTACTCAGGAGGCTGAGGCAGGAGAATCACTTGAACTCAGGAAGTGGAAGTTGCAGTGAGCCAAGATCACATCACTGCACACCAGCCTGGGCAACAGAGAGAGACTCCATCTCAAAAAAAAAAAGCTGGGCGAGGTGGCTCATGCCTGTAATCCCAGCACTTTGGGAGGCCGAGGCGGGTGGATCACGAGGTCGAGAGATCGAGACCATCCTGGTCAATCACAAGGTCCTTGTGATTGTCCTTTGGGAGGCTGAGGTGGGCAGATCACCTGAGGTAAGGAGTTTGAGATCAGCCTGACCAATGTGGTGAAACCCCATCTTTAAAAATATATATATATTGGCCGGGCGCGGTGGCTCAAGCCTGTAATCCCAGCACTTTGGGAGGCCGAGGCAGGTGGATCACGAGGTCGATAGATCGAGACCATCCTGGTCAACATGGTGAAACCCCGTCTCTACTAAAAATACAAAAAATTAGCTGGGCATGGTGGTGCGTGCCTGTAATCCCAGCTACTCAGGAGGCTGAGGCAGGAGAATTGCCTGAACCCAGAAGGCAGAGGTTGCGGTGAGCCGAGATCGCGCCATTGCACTCCAGCCTGGGTAACAAGAGCGAAACTCCGTCTCGAAAAATAAAAAATAAAAAAAAATAAAAATAAAAATAAAAATAAATATATATATATATTTAAAAAAAAAAAAAAAAAAAGGCCGGGCACGGTGGATCACGCCTATAATCCCAGCACTTTGGGAGGCCAAGGTAGGTGGATCACGAGGTCAAGAGATCGAGACCATCCTGGTCAACATGGTGAAACCCCGTCTCTACTAAAAATACAAAACTTAGCTAGGCACAGTGGCCCATGCCTTTAGTCCCAGCTACTCGGGAGGCTGAGCAGGAGAATTGCTTGAACCAAGGAGGCAGAAGTTTCGGTAAGCCGAGATCGCGCCATTGTACTCCAGCCTGGGTAACAAGAGCGAAACTCCATCTAAAAAAAAAAAAAAAAAGATCACAGTGGATATAGAGAAGGGAGGGCATTAAAAACTTTGGTAAGAGCCAAGTCAATGGAGTAACAATGGGAAGAAAGCAGTGTAAACTGGGGCGAGAAGGCAGAGAGGAGTGAGGTAGGAGAGAATTAAAAGTTGGCAACTCTCAGAATGCAACTGTGAAGAAGAAGAGAAAGTGGCATCTGGAGAGGTTTTTGTTTTTGTGTTCTTTTGAGATGAAGTTTTGCTCTAGCCCAGGCTGGAGTGCAGTGGTGCCATCTCAGCTCACTGCAACCTCCATCTCCCAGGTTCAAGTGATTCTTCTGCCTCAGACTCCCGAGTAGCTGGGATTACAGGCATGCGCCACCATGCCCAGCTAATTTTGTATTTTTAGTAGATACTGGGTTTCTCCACGTTGATCAGGGTGGTCTCAAACCCCTGACCTTGTGATCTGCCCACTTTAGCCTCCCAAAGTGCTGGGATTACAGGTATGAGCCACTGTGCCTGGCCCTGGAGAGGTTTTTAAAAGATGATGGAAGGCTGTGTTTGGAGGAGTCTACCCCCATCTCCCCTGTATAAAAGGAAAGCGGAAGAGAGAACCACAAAGAGGGCTTGGGGGAAAGCTGTGGAGTGAGGTGATAAGGGCTTGTGTCTGAGGAATTCCCGGTCACTGGAAGCCCTATCAGGTCTGCCTTTCTTCCTCACCCCCATCCCCTTCCCTGACACTGGCTTAGTCTTCTGAGGGGCTAGAAGAGAGAAGGACTGAGTCGAGTGACACCCTAGAAGACGCTCTGTGTGCCTTCGGAGGTCTTTCTGCCTGCCTGTAAGCCAGGGTTGGAGCTGGGGCAGGAGAGGGGTCTGGGGTGAGGCTAGTAATTTAGGCTCTGCCGGCAAGAATGGGAGAGGGGAGTGGGGAGGATGGGAGGTGTGGAAGCTGTTTCAGGAAGCAAAGCTGCAGGGGGAAGGGACCTGGGACATGGGGGAATGCTTCCAGGGGCTGGAGGGGTCCACTCAAGGCCCCCTTGCCCACAGGTCCCCATGCCTCTCCTCCTCTTGCTGCTCCTGCTGCCAAGCCCCTTACACCCCCACCCCACCTGTGAGGTCTCCAAAGTGGCCAGCCACATAGAAGTGAACTGTGACAAGAGGAATCTGAGAGTGCTGCCTCCAGACCTGCCGAGAGACGCAACCATCCTCCACTTGAGTGAGAACCTCCTGTACAGCTTCTCCATGGCATCCCTGGTGCCTTTAACTCACCTCACTCAGCTGTACCTAGATCAGTGTGAGCTGACCAAGCTCCAGGTTGATGGGACGCTGCCACTGCTAGGGACCCTAGATCTATCCCACAATAAATTGCAAAGCCTGCCCTTCCTAGGGCAGGCATTGCCTGCTCTCACTATTCTGGATGTCTCCTTCAACCAGCTGACCTCGCTATCTCCTGGTGCCTTCCGTGGTCTTGGCCACCTCCAAGAGCTCTACCTGAAAGGCAATGAGCTGAAGACTCTGCCCGCAGGGCTCCTGATGCCCACACCCAAGCTGGAGAAACTCAGTCTGGCTAACAACAACTTGACTGAGCTGCCCCCTGGGCTCCTGAATGGGCTGGAGAATCTTGACACACTTCTCCTTCAAGAGAACTTGCTGCGCACAATACCAAAGGGCTTTTTTGGGGACCACCTCCTGCCTTTTGCCTTTCTTCATGGGAACCCCTGGTTATGTAACTGTGAGATCCTCTATTTTCGTCGCTGGCTTCAGGACAATGCCGAAAATGTCTACGTATGGAAGCAAGGTGTGGACGTCAAGGCCATGACCTCCAATGTGACCAGTGTGCAGTGTGACAATTCAGATAAGATTTCCATCTACAAATACCCAGGGAAGGAATGCCCCACCCTTGGTGATGGAGATGACGAAGACCTATATGATGACTACACGGAAGAGGACACTGAGAGTGATAAGGTGCGTGCTACAAGGACTGTGGTCAAGTTCCCCACCAAAGCCCATACAACCCACAGGGGTCTATTCTACTCGTGGTCTACTGCTTCTCTAGACAGCCAGATGACCTCCTTGCATCCAACCCAAGAATCCACTAAGAAGCAGACCACATTCCCACCCAGATGGACCCTAGATTTCACCACATTCTCCAAATCTGTCACATTCTCCAAAACTCCAAAATCCATTACTGAACCCACCACAAGCACGACCACCTCAGAGCTCACCTCAAGCCCGACCACCCCAGAGCCCACCTCAAGCCCGACCACCCCAGAGGCCACCACAAGCCCGACCACCCCAGAGCCCACCACAAGCCCGACCACCCCAGAGCCCACCACAAGCCCGACCACCCCAGAGCCCACCACAAGCCCGACCACCCCAGAGCCCACCACGAGCCCGACCACCCCAGAGCCCGCCACGAGCCCGACCACCCCAGAGCCTGCCACGAGCCTGACCACCCCAGAGCCCGCCACGAGCCCGACCACCCTAGAGCCTGCCACAATCCTGATCACCCCAGAGCCCACTTCAAGCCCGACCACCCCAAAAACCATCATATTTTTAACTACCACAAAACCCATCTCATTCTTAGAATCCACCAAAAAAACCATCCCTGAATTTGAGAAGCAACCAAAGGTCCGTGGGGTGGCCCAAGGGCATTTTGACAGCTCCAGAAACGAGCCTTTTCTCCATCCCAACTTTTGCTGCCTCCTCCCCCTGGGCTTCTATGTCTTGGGTCTCCTCTGGCTGTTCTTGGCCTGTGTGATCCTCATCCTGCTGCTGACCTGGGTTGGGCATGTGAAACCACAGGCCTTGGACTCCAGCGAGGGTATTGCTCTGGCCACAGCCACGCAAACCACACATCTAGAGCTGCAGAGAGGAAGGCAAGTGACAGTGCCCCGGGCCTGGCTGCTCTTCCTTCAAAGCACACTCCCCACTTTCCGCTCCAGCCTCTTCTTATGGGTACGGCCTAATGGCCAAATGGGGCCTCTAGTGGCAGGAAGAAGGCCCTCAGCTCTGAGTGAAGGTCGTGGTCAGGACCTGCTGGGCACAGTGAGCATTAGGTACTCTGGCCACAGCCTCTAAGGGTGGGAAGTTTGGGGACCTTGGGAGAGGCTCCCGTGGGCTCTCCTATTGGGATCTGGCTGGGGTTGGGTGGGTAAGAAACATGGGGTCATGGGGAGGTCTTAATTCCTTTTCCTGTATCAGAAGCCCTCTCTTCACACCACAAGCACACAAATTCAGTCCCAGAAAAGCAGGAGGGATAGTGACATGGAGTTGGGTGGGTCACAGAACAAAGCTCCCTATCCTGCATGGGACATCTATGCACAGAAGAAAATCTGGAAAGCAGTTTATCAGGATGTGAGCACTGATTGTGTCTGGATGTTACAAATATGGATGGTTTTATTTTCTTTTTCCCTGTTTAGCATTTTCTAGTTTTCTACCATTATTGTATATTATCTGTATAATAAAAAATAATTTTAGAGTCAGAAGTGATGGCTCACACCTGTAATCCCAGCACTTTGGGAGGCCGAGGTGGGCCGATCATGAGGTCAGGAGATGGAGAACATCCTGGTCAACATGGTGAAACCCCGTCTCTACTAAAAATACAAAAATTAGCTGGGTGTAGTGGTGTGTGCCTGTAATCCCAGCTATTTGGGAGGCTGAGGCAGAAGAATCGCTTGAACCAGGGTGTTGGAGGTTGTGGTGAACCAAGATGGTACCACTCCACTCCAGCCTGGCAACAGAGCAAGATTCTATCTCAAAAAAACAAAAAATGGCCGGGCGCGGTGGCTCAGGCCTGTAATCCCAGCACTTTGGGAGGCCGAGGCAGGTGGATCACGAGGTCGAGAGATCGAGACCATCCTGGTCAACATGGTGAAACCCCGTCTCTACTAAAAATACAAAAAATTAGCTGGGCATGGTGGCACGTGCCTGTAATCCCAGCTACTCAGGAGGCTGAGGCAGGAGACTTGCCTGAACCCCGGAGGTGGAGGTTGCGGTGAGCCGAGATCGCGCTATTGCACTCCAGCCTGGGTAACAAGAGCGAAACTCCGTCCCAAAAAATAAAAAATAATAAAATAAAACAAAATAATAAATATATGTATAACACAACATATATATATATATATATATATATATATATATATATATATATAAAAAACAAAATGTTATATATAAAACAAAACAGGTGTGGTGGCTCACACGCCTATAATCCCAGCACTTTGGGAATCCAAAGCAGGTGAATCACCTGAGGTCAGTAGTTGGAGACCAGTCTGGCAAATATGGTAAAACCCTGTCTCTACTAAAAATACGAAAATTAGCTGGGCGTGGTGGTGCACACCTGTGATCCAAGCTACTCGGGAGGCTGGGACAGAAGAATCACTTACACCTGGAAGGTGAAGGTTGCAGTGAGCTGAGATCGCGCCACTGGACTCCAGCCTGGGCAACAGAGTGAGATTCCGTCTCAAAAAACAAAACAAAACACAAACTTAGTTTCTGGCTGGGTGCAGTGAGATTCTGTCTCAAAACAAAACAAAACAAAACAAAAACTTAGTTTCTGACTGGGTGCAGGGACTCACGCCTGTAATTCCAGCACTCTGGCAGGTAGAGACAGGTGGATTGCTTGAGCCTAGGAGTTCAAGACCAGGCTTGGCAACATGGCAAAATCCCATCTTTATAAAAAATACAAAACATTAGCCAGGTCTGGTGGCTTGCACCTGAGGTCCCAGGTACCTGGGAGACTGAGGTGGGAGGATCACCTGAGCCTGGGAGATGGAGGCTACAGTGAGCTGTGATTTTGTCACTGTACTCCAGCCTGGGTGACAGAGTGAGACCCTGTCTCAAAACAACTTGGTTTCTTTTGGTGAAGTGTCTGGGACACCTGTCATGAGAATTCACAAGGTCCCAACTGCCCCTACCCTGGTCACAACTACTCATTCAATAGACTTCCAGTTATAGCCTACACTTCCCCTGCCTGGGCTGCCTCCTTCTCTTCTCCAGGGGTGGCCACCCACCAGGACACCCCAGGCATCAGATCCAGCTCAAAAATTGTCTCCCTGAAGTTTAATAGCAACTGCTGAGACCTATCTGCCAGTAGCCTGCAATACTGGAGCAAAAGTGAGTACCTGCTTGCACCTGCAGCCTCAGAAATTATGGCTCTCCTCACTGCCCAGGTCAGCAGGATAGCAAGGGGTGGACGACCCTGCAGCATGTGCCATCTTGGTGTGACTAAACAGTCTTGGGCTTCCTACTCCCAGGCTGCGACACAGGCAAATGGAACCCTACTTCTCTTCTCAGAGATCCTGCCATTCCCTAAACGCATCGGCGTGGCTTCCTCTCTTGCCTTGTCTCCAGCCCAATCCAGGGCTTGGGGCCCAGAGAATGGGACTATGGAGACCCCCATCCCTCTCCAAAGGTCCTGGAAGGATCTGATGTCTGACTGCATCTCTTCCCAGGTAGAGGACCAACTCCTGAGCTTGGCAGTCAGAGAGCGCCATGCGCCGATACAACCTGACAGTCCAGTGCCATCTCTCAAAGCAGATACCACACAGCCTGTGCTCCAAATATCAGAAACCTGTAGATCACCTGCTCCCCGACAGTGTTTTACTCTAAGCCTTTGCCCTCAGTCCAGCCAGACATGCTGTCCTTGCCCTGTTCCCAGCCAGTCTAACCACTCAGTGTGCAAGTCACTTCTCCCAGGTGAGGGCAGGTGCTCCTGGTTACTCTGCACCACTATTGCTACACTCCGTTTCCCAATCTGCTCCTGCATAATCTTGTCTTCTGGATCAGGAACTTCTTAAGGACAAGGTCTAGGCTTCAGGTGTCTCACAATAGCCACCAAGGCCCAGGACATACTGTACACAGAAGCAGCAACAGGAGAGCCAGGATGCTAAGCTCCACCTCTTCTGCTGATGAGGCTCTGCCAAAGGGACAGCTCCCACCTGCTGCCTGCCTGTCCCCTGGCCTGGCCAGCACTCCTCAATTTGACCTTCCCAAGCTCTTTTATGCCCCAAGAGGTTTTAAGGCTCCTTGAGGGCTGGGCCTGGGAACCACACATCTCCTTCTAAAGAAACGGATACGGTTCTCACTCTCCCCACCCAAGGACCCGGATCTGGTCTCTGGCCAGTATCCGCCTTTCCTCAAGCTTTCAGTTCCTACCCTCATAAGCCCTGGCCCTCCACCCCGACTGGCTCCAGCCGCAATAGTCTTCTCTCTGAGACTTCTCTCAGAGTCTCTTTATTTCCTCCCTCTTCAGGCTGCAGAAGCAGTCATCAGACCCAGGGGCTTTTCCTGGGGATTATGTGAGATGATCTGTGCATCTGTGACATTCTTGGGCAAGTGGCTAGAGGCAACACACCGGGCCTGGGATTTGAGTTTTCCTGGCCCTGTCAGCTGCTGTAGCATGACAGATTTACACAGCACTTGCACAAAACCAGTGGGTGCTTTTTCTTTAATTTTTCTTAAAAACTCCAGTTCCTTCATTGGAACTGAGTCATTAAAAAAAAAAAAACCTCCAGTTCCTATTCTCCAGGGGCACTAGCTTCTTTGTCCAGTCTCCTCCCCTCTCCTAGTCACCCCCGAGACTCTGCAGATTTGGGGCTGGTGTCATCAATCCAATTTATTAAGTCCTCAATGAAGGGGAGGAAGGGCCACATCTCCCCCTGTAGCCCCTTTGGCCATCCTGATAGCTTCTGCTCTTCCCTGTCCCCTCAGCTCTGCCTTGATTTCCCCACTGAGAAGGGGGATCTTTCTGCTGTCCTGCATACCCTGAAACTAACATCCAAGGGGAGGCCAGAAATCCTGAGGAAGTGTTCCAGCTCCCCACAAGAACAGCCAGGGACAGAGAAGTCACAGGATCAGGACGAGCAGGGCAAGCCAGAGCAGGGGGTAGAATAGACCAAGTCCTTTACCACAGAAGAAAAAAACCACACTGTGGAGGGGAAATAAATAGAGGGGTCCAGGGCAGCAGAGCCCAGGCCCCCAGGGCGCAGTGGCTGTAGGCGCAACAGATGAGTGGGTGCCCCTTGCCGCTTCAGCCACTGAGGAAGAGACGCTTGTAGGCCTTGTTCATCTGCTCCAAGAAGATGAAGGTGAGGACGGTGTGGGGGCCCAGGCGGGCATAGTACGGTGTGAAGCCCTTCCACAGGCTGAAGAAGCCCTCGTAGCGGACAACCTTGAATAGTACGTCCTAGACACACAGACAGGCAGGGTGCGGGGGCTAGGACCTGGACTCTAGGGCCCCATTCCTCTTACCCAGCTGCCTTCACAGCTTTCCCAGGGCATCCGACACCCCCTCCCAGGCCCCCAGAATAGCTTCCTCACCAGCCCATTCTTGTATTCCGGCTTCCCATCAATCATCCGCATGTTCTGGATCCTGAAGGGGAAGAGACAAGGGCATGAAAGACTGAAAGGAAACCTTCCCATCCATCTCCAGGCTCAGGCCTGCACACTCACCGGGTCTTGGCAATGTCCACAGGCATGGAGGCAGCAGTGGTGACAAGACCACTGATCATGCTGGCGCAGAAGTGGCACAAGATGTTGTCAGAGAAGTAGCCTGGGGGAGGTGAAACAGGGGTGGCAGTCAGCTCAGAGGTGGCTCAGGCCAGGCTGGGAGCTAAGGGCCCAGCTCTGGGTCTCACCTGAGTCGAGTAAGAACTGCTTGGATTGGGAGTAGGAGGCGAGCTGGGCAGCATTGACGACAACGGCCCGAGCCATGGTAGGGATGCAACCCTGGAGGTAGGGGAGCAGGGGAAGAGTCAGAAATCACTAAAACCTGACCTCACATCCCCAAAGTCTCTAGCCGTTTCACTCACCCGCCACAGTGTGGGGACTCCCTCTTCCTGGGTGATTCGAATCAGGGCGTTAAACACATTTTTGTAGCCACGGCGCTGGTCAGCTGGAAGACTGGTGAGAGGGCAGGAAGAGGTCAAGATCAGGATAGCCCGCAGGAGCAAAGAAAGGAAGGCCTGAATAGGTAAATGCTCTCCTCTAGATCTAGCATAAAATACTGGTCCTTCTACTCTAGATTCCAGGGAATGGGGCCGGGGTTAGGCTCAGACTTGGAACTCACCGGCCATCAGCAGTCATGCGGATAAGAGCCACTTCGGCTGGTGTTCCCACAAAGGCACCAGTGGCACCTGCAGTCATACCAATCAGAGCCTTGAGCAGAAAGCCAGGAGGTGTACCATCAGCCCCAGTCAAGCGCTCAAACAGCACGGTATAGATGCCAAGGCGGGTGGTGGTGTAGGTGGCCTGGCGCAGCAGGCCAGCTGACAGCCTGAGGAGCAGAGGGGTCAGCACATGAGGCCGAGGTCTGGAGCTGCCAACCCATAGCCTACTTCCCATCCTGAGGCCCCAATACCCGGTGTAAATGCCCCTCAGGCCTTCTGCCTTCAGGATGCTGGTGAGGGCATGGAAGCTGGTTTTGTATTCTCGAGTCTTGGCCCCTTCACCGCTCAGCTGCATCCGATTCTTCACCAGGTCCAGGGGCTGGACAAAAACGGTGGCTCCCATTCTGGGGAAAGACAGAGGTGACGGGCCAGGTGTTTCAGATCTACCAATGCCCACTGGAGCCTGACAGCAAAAGGTTACAAAGGTCAGGGCCTGCCACACGATTCAAAAATCAGAATGCTGATGAGCAGTGCATAAGAGTCTAATGTACACCAAGTGCAACGGGTCTGAAAAGTCTAGTTGTCCTTAGGGGCCATGCAATGAAACTGCTCCAAGCAGCTTCATGACAGTCAAGCAGTGGCCTGGGATTGCACACAGTCCGACACAGGGAGCGGAGGAAGGGGGCATCCAAGACTTAGGACTCAAGGTAGTCCTGCAGGAGCCATTTAATGGCCTGGAACCCCATGTAGCACGGCAGAGCTTAGCAACGCGCTGGAAAACTCAGGGAACCCTGCAGGGGTTGTGCAACGACCCTGCATGCAGTCCAGAAGGGGCCCTGCAATGGGTCCCTGGCAGCCCAACAGGGAACTCGCAATACGCTGGAGATCGCTCTGACCTCGTGATGGCACAGTTCACTGCAAGAGACCCAGAGATGAACCGGACCCGGTTCCTTGCGCCCACCCCTTCCTCCTCTTTTCCCATCCCTGGGGCCTGAGCTTACCCGGCCAGGCCCCCAAACAGGAACTTGACGGACTTAGGGGAGGTACGGGGCTTCCCGTCCATCCCGCCGGCCGCGGGACTCGCCGTCGCCGCCATCACCACTCAGTGGCCCTTGGCTCCGGGTCCCGTGTGCGCGCGACCCCGCTCGCGCCCAAGGTGACACCGCGCGCGCAACAGGGACAGGGCGCGCGCACGCCCCTCCGGCTCTCAGGTCAGGCACCCGCTAGAAGCGGGCGCCGGCGCAGGCGCGCAGCGCAAAGGCGGCCGGGAGTAAGACGGAGCTGAAGGAGGAGCTTGAGGGATGCGTGCTGGGATGGGTGTGGCTGATTTAGGAAGCCAGAGGAAAGGCACAGTTTTCACCGAATTGGAATCGCGGGAAAACAGAAGGGAGTTTGTTTGAAGGTCTCGCGAGATCGAGTGAGTAAGGCGCGACAAGAGAGCTCTCGCGATAGACTCAACAAGCAGCTACGAGGGGACGGGGGAGGTGGTGAGCACTCTCGCGATATTTGGAGGAGCAGCGACGACCAGAGGGAGGAGAGGTTTGTAAACTAGGCCGCTCCAGGTTTCCGGGAATCTTTACAGGCAAACGATTAGGTCGTCTTCTGGGCCACCGGCACTCCTTCCATCGCTAACTTTTTTTAACCGGCCTTTTAGGACCGGAAGTCCTTCATCTCAAGCGTCCAATGCTGGAAGCGGCCGGACTTTCTCTACCGGAAGCCCTTTTCCAGAGGCTGGGAACCCGGCCCACCTGGCAGGAAGTCCCACCTTCTTGAGCTCCCCCACCCTTCCCGAAGTTTTTCTGTCAGCTGTGTTAGCCTCCGTCCCGTTTCCCAGGCTTATTCCCTTACCAGAAAAGGATACATTTAGTGCCTCCTACCCAGCTCCACTAAACGGATTGGATACCTCATTCTTTGAGTCGGGGTTCTTTCCCTGGCGTCCCCATGTAGTTGGGAAGTGCGACCTGGGGGTGATTGGACCCCTGGGATCTTAAAGGAGGGGCAGGGAGGGCGCAGAACTCTGCTTCTGCTCATTGCTACCAGGACGCGCGGCCTCCTCGGCCTCTCTCCTCCCGCTGCCATGCACCCTGCAGCCTTCCCGCTTCCTGTGCTTGTGGCCGCTGTGCTGTGGGGAGCGGCTCCCATCCGGGGGCTCATTCGAGCGGTGAGTCCACGGGACGGATGGGGAAAGGTCGCTGAAGGGACGGTTTGCAGAGTGAGGGGCAACATGGCCTTTCTTGTCCGCAGACCTCAGACCATAATGCCAGCATGGACTTTGCAGACCTCCCAGCTCTATTTGGGGCTACCTTGAGCCAGGAGGGACTCCAGGTGATTTTCTTTTTCCCTTCATATTTCGCAAATCTTCCATCCTGGGGTGGGGTGGGGTTGGGGAGGTTTGTCCTGGGTGAAACTGGAGGTAGGAAAGTCAGGTTAGGAACTGAGCACTTGTAGTGTGGAATCCAGAATCTAGAGGGAGAAGAGAAAGTGTCTACCCCTGGAACTCCAAGCTTGTCAGGGAGACTGAAAGTAGACAAAGGCAGGACCAATAGGTTCTTATCAGGAGAGTCTCAGGAGCTTGTTATTTATTGGTTGTATGATCTTGGGCAAGTTAATTTCTCTTTGAGCCTTCGTTTGGTTTACTGTAAAATGGGATAATGGAAGTTTTCCTAGGGTTACTGTGAAGATTAAATTAGATAAGCAATTTTTGTAATACTTCATCCCAAAGACTGCCACATAGCAAGAACTCATTTGGGCCATAGATAGCAGTCGAGTTGTTTGTGAGATGGTTAATTAGAAAATTGAAGAGGCCGGGCTTGGTGGCTCATGTGTGTAATCCCAGTTCAAGACCAGCCTGGCCAACATGGTGAAACCCTGTCTCTACTAAAAATACAAAAGTTATCCGGGTGTGGTGGAATGTGCCTGTAGTCTCAGCTACCTGGGAGGCTGAGGCAGGAGAATCACTTGAATCTGGGAGGCGGCAGTTGCAGTGAGTGCCACCGCACCCCAGCTTGGGCGATGGAACGAGACTCCATCTCACACACACATACACAGAAAAAAAACCGAGCGCGGTGGTTCACACCTGTAATTCCAGCACTTTGGGAGGCTGAGGCAGGCAGATCACCTAAGGTTAGGAGTTCGAGACCAGCTTGACCAACATGGAGAAACTCTACTAAAAATACAAAATCAGCTGGGCATGGTGGCACATGTCTGTAATCCCAGCTACTCCAGAGGCTGAGGCAGGAGAATTGCTTGAACCCAGGAGGTGGAAGTTGCAGTGGGCCAAGATCACACCATTGCACTCTAACCTGGGCAACAAGAGCAAAACGCCGACTAAAAAAAGAAAAAAAAGAAAATTGAAGGGAGGAGTATGTTCTGTATGAATATGTGCTGGAGAGGGGACTGTGAAACGAGAGAAAGTGACATGGGTGGTTAGAGAATTAAATTACAATCAAAATATTAGGAGACAAAATAATTGCGTTAGCTTGCAGTATGGAGTACAGATTAGCCCATTTGGGAGCGTGAGAAGGGCGATAGGAGCAGTGAGATGTCATTATGTCATCGCCTTTTCAGGAGGCTAAGAGAAGATTGTACGGATGGGATGCTTAGCCCCCAGGAATGAGGAGGAAGGGAGGATAGAGGATGTGCAGCACGTGGGGCTGGTGTGTCTGGTGTGTAGGCTCTATAGAACCTAGGGAGATGAAATCTAACTGCTGTTTGCTTTCATCCTGTAGGGGTTCCTTGTGGAGGCTCACCCAGACAATGCCTGCAGCCCCATTGCCCCACCACCCCCAGCCCCGGTCAATGGGTCAGTCTTTATTGCGCTGCTTCGAAGATACGACTGCAACTTTGACCTCAAGGTTGCTGAATGTGGAGTGGGAGCTGGGCAGCTGAGGGTACAAAAGGCACCAGGAATGGAGACAGCTAAGGCCCATGATGGCTCCTTGTCCTCTGCCTTGTCTCCCTAGGTCCTAAATGCTCAGAAGGCTGGATATGGTGCCGCTGTAGTACACAATGTGAATTCCAATGAACTTCTGAACATGGTGTGGAATAGTGGTAAGGCTGAGGGAATCTAGACAGCTGGGCTTTCAGTAGGACACAGACAGAGATGGTGGGAAGGCTGAAGGGTTCAGGAAAAGAAGCCAATACTTTAGGTGGGGTGGGGCCAAAGTGCCAGATCCCAGAGTTCCCAAAGGATTTGAGTAGAAGCGTGAGTCCCCAGAGTAATGCCTTGATCCCTGCAGAGGAAATCCAGCAGCAGATCTGGATCCCATCTGTATTTATTGGGGAGAGAAGCTCCGAGTACCTGCGTGCCCTCTTTGTCTACGAGAAGGGGTAGGACATGTGCCTCCTTCCCATTCTTCCTTCAGCAAGCAGTTCCATGCCAACCTGGAACCCAGGCCTCCTCACTACCTCAACCATTCAGCCTCTGTCCTTCCTTCCCTGCCTCTGACTTTCTTCCCATTCCCTTCCCCTTCCGTGGGCTTTGTACAGAGCCAGTTACTTTGTCCCTTTTTTTCCCTCCCTTTGCCATTCTGGCCCTGCTAAGACTGGTCATCCTTTCCCCAGGGCTCGGGTGCTTCTGGTTCCAGACAATACCTTCCCCTTGGGCTATTATCTCATCCCTTTCACAGGGATTGTGGGACTGCTGGTTTTGGCCATGGGAGCAGTAATGGTGAGTAGCTGAGGGAACATGATGAGAAGCACTGAGGCCTATGATGCCAGACTGGATCTGGAGTTGGGAGGTGGGAATGGTTTGTCCTAGATTGTCTAGTTTTGTTCCTAAGCCTTGTCCATCCACTCCCCCTTCCCCCAGATAGTTCGTTGTATCCAGCACCGGAAACGGCTCCAGCGGAATCGACTTACCAAAGAGCAACTGAAACAGATTCCTACACATGACTATCAGAAAGGTGAGGGGCTTAGTGGAGAAAAGGGCTTTTCTCACCATGTACCTGGATCTGAAGGACTTTGAGCCCAGAAGATAGGGTATACAAAGATAGCAGTGGCCGGGCACAGTGGCTCACATAATCCTAAGTGCCTGTAATCCCAGCACTTTGGGAGGCCGAGGTGGGCAGATCGCTTGAGCCTAGGAGTTGAGACCACCCTGGGCAACATGATAAAACAAAAAAATCCCAGCACTTTAGGAGGTTGAGGTGGGTGGATCCCTTGACCCCAGGAGTTCCAGGCCAGCCTGTGCAACATGGCAATACCCATGTCTCTATAAAAAACACAAAAATTGGCTGGGTGTGGTGTACGCTTGTAGTCCCAGCTACTTGAGAGGCTAAGACAGGAGAATCATTTGAACCAGGAAGGTGGAGGTTGCAGGGAGCTGAGATTGCCCTACGGTGCTCCAGCCTGGGTGACAGAGGGAGTCCCTGTCTCAAAATAGTAAAAAGAAAGATTGCAGTGAGAAGGTTTCAGCTTGAGATGCCATCTTTTCTTCTCTTTTTACTCACAGTGAAGACAGGAGAGGAGATGGAATAGAAGAGATGGCAAGCAAAAATGATTAAGTGAAATAATTGGGGGAAACAGTAAAGGGACAGACTTTGCTTATAAGGGATATAGAGAGAGCAGAAAAATGGGAGAAATGGGGAGGATTCTGTTAGAGAAGGAAGAAACAGGTACCAAGGGGCTGGGGCTTTAGGCCCTGGGGCCTCCAGTGCCCATATAAGGCTATGGCAGAAGCCCTGCCCATTTCCGTTCCTCCACTCCCTCTCCACTCTCACACCTCCCCAAAAACCCACTTCCCTTCTTACCTCTGCTTCTTTTTGTTTGTCCCTTCTAGCCCCCAAATCCTTCCATGTTCTGCTCTGACCTTATCCTGCCCACCTGTCAGCTTTTCCACTGGCTTTGTAGGCAAGGGAAAATTTTTGCAAGGCTTTAAAAGCCTTAATGAATTAAGGGCCCTGGTTCATGATGGCTCAGTGAAGGACTACATTTCTTTCTTTCTGTCCCAGGAGACCAGTATGATGTCTGTGCCATATGCCTGGATGAATATGAGGATGGGGACAAGCTGCGGATACTCCCTTGTGCTCATGGTGAGGCCCCCTCACTGTCTGCACATGCCCCTATGCCACTGGCAGCCTCTAGGCATTTCACCTTGTTCCTCTCTGCAGCCTACCACAGCCGCTGTGTGGACCCCTGGCTCACTCAGACCCGGAAGACCTGCCCCATCTGCAAGCAGCCTGTTCATCGGGGTCCTGGGGATGAAGAGCAAGAGGAAGAAACTCAGGGGCAAGAGGAGGGTGATGAAGGGGAGCCAAGGGACCACCCTGCCTCAGAAAGGACCCCACTTTTGGGTTCCAGCCCCTCTCTTCCCACTTCCTTTGGTTCCCTAGCCCCAGCTCCCCTTGTTTTTCCTGGGCCTTCAACAGATCCCCCACCCTCTCCTCCCTCTTCACCTGTTATCCTGGTCTAGTAACCATCCTCCCCACCACACACACCGGTGACCTATTTGCACAGGCATTTTCTTCCCTTGTCTTCTAAATTGAGGGATAGGGGACATTTCCATCCCAAGCTTCTCCCTTACCCAGACCTATCCTTTTGAGGGGCCTTGGGGTGGGCTGGGACAAGCAAAGGGACTGATCTTCACTTCTTGGGTTAATAAAATTGTTTTTGTGGACTAAGGAAGGGTGAGATCATTCTCACACCGGTGGACTTAACCCTTTAGGGGAATCACCCCTTTAGCTGTAAGGAGCAAGAGAATGCTGGGAGACACTAACCTATCATCATAGGGACAGCCCCAGGAGGCATTTGCTATGACTCACAAGGGGAGCCCCACCCACAAGGATGACTCAACTGGCCCTGCCTTGCCTGCAGGCCTGAACCCATTCTCTGATCCAGATGGCCCTATTCCATTATCCACCAATTTGACGAGCACACTCAGGACTTAGGCCTGGAAATGCCACTGTGGAGGGGCAGGGCCACCTGGCCAGAAACTTAAATCCCTGCACCTTGTGGTGCCTCAACCTTCCTGCTCCCAAGCCACTTTTAAAGGAGGCAAGTCACAGTGCCTGTCCCATTCTGACACCCAAGCTTAAATCACACAGCACCTTGTTAGTAGAATCTTTTTTATTCAGAAAAAAAAAAAAAAAAAAAAAAAAAAAAACCCAAAAAACAAAAGTTTTCCAACCACACACAGGAGGGGTATGGGTAGGGGGAGGTGTCTGTCCATCCAGCCCTGGCCCCCAGCCCATGTGGTTTTGGCAGCAATAAGGGGTGTGGGGTAATGGCCCCCAAAATAAAATGGTGTATGTGTGTATGGGGAAGAAAAGGGTGCAAAGCTGTGGGGAGCAGTGAAGGGGAAGGGACAGACGAGGTCAGTACTGGGCACGCCGAAGGTGGGAGGCCATTTCATAACATTTCTTGTTGATCAAACCACCGTGGACACCTTCTTTGCCCATCAGCAGGACTAGCGCTGGAGGAGGAGGAAAGAGAAAGGAGGCTAGGACCCAGGTGTCACAATTCCACCCCCTGCCAGCTGTTCAGCAGCTGTCCAGCCCTGGGGGCTGTAACCCAACCTCATCTCTCCCAACCACCCCCCTCCACACACACACACAGGCAGGCTGTCAGTCACCCTGAAACAATAAGGCTTTTCAAAAGGGGAAAATCAAGCTTAAATGCTGGAAAGGAACAGACTAAAATTTAGGGGTCAAAGCCTGATAGACGGTTCAGGCTAGAAATGGCTGTGAATGGGCATGCCACCTCCAAGTTCTAACAAAAGAGATCAAAAGATGAGCCAAATGATGATTTAGGACCCCAACAATCTACATATACTCCTATAAGTTTCTAATCTGAGCTCAAAGCAGGAAGGAATTTGAGAGGTAACGGCAGTTCAACAACTTCGAATTACAAGATGAGGAACTGAGACAGTACTGGAGGGACTATCCATGTTCCAGCATCCAGCAGACAGGACGCAGAACACTGGTCTGACTCCCATCACGTTGGGGAATCACACAAAAAAGCACCCTAAAGATTTCCGGAAGGCAGTACATTAGAGATCAAGTACAGGAAGGATAAGACTCAAGAACTCACTCTTGTCAGTCTTGGTGACAGTGACATTGAAGGTGGGGGCTCCACCGGTGCTCTTGGTACGAAGATCCATGCTAAATTCCCCATCCTGCAGCAGTGAGTCCCGGATAACCGAACATTTCTGGCCCCCCAGTGTCAGCCCATTCACGTAAAAACTTGACCGGTCTTTGCCAACCAGGACACCAACCTCAGCTGGCTGGAAGAGGAACCAAGCACCCATCAGGTTAGTCAGTGCACCAAGATTCCCACCTTGCTCTCCAAAGACCCATCTGCCTTCCACTTCTGAGAGTGAGAATCCCCCCCACCTCACCCCAGGAGAAGTGTAAGTTATGTGCTCAGCACACATCAATGAAATGGGAGAAATTCTTAGGACTGTGGGATATTAGTCCAGAAAAACATCATGATTCTCAAGCCTGGAACATAGGACCAGGGAGGAAAAGATGACATACTGAGATTTAGATCTCAGTGTTAACAGGGAAAGTAAATCCAGGAAATAAAAGGGGCCAAAAGTCAGTGAGAAAAGTGAGGAGCCTTTGGATGCTCAGAACGCTCCTTCAGGAAAAGCAGAAGCGGAGAGGGGAGGGGAGGGGGGCGGGCAAGGCAAGAGAAGCAACTTTGCCCTTATTTGGGCAAAGGTTCTGCAGGAGCTGTTAGGGCCCGGACGCCTGGGTCTCCAAGTAACCTAGAGTTTAGCTCCAGGTATCTCTGCTCTGAGATGAGGAAGCAGACCCCTGGGGACTTTCCGGGAAAGTTGGAAAACTTTTAAAGGTGGATGGAGGCTAGACCCAGCAGGCCACTTCTCGGGTCTAGGTACCCCAGGAACCTTTCTCCCCCTCCCCCTTTCACCCCAAGCCCCCACATCCGGTCCCCTCCCGCCCGGAAACCCCCTTCCCCCCCTTTCGAACTTCCGCTCCCCCTCCCCACTTCCGGGCAGTGTGGACAGGGGAGATGTTGGTGGAAGCAGCGGTAGTCAACCCATATTCTTTCGCTTATGCAGTCTCACAACTTCTCACAAAGTTCCCCTGCTCCAGGCCCCGCCGGATGGCGGGAAGGGAGGGCGAGGGGACTTCCGGGATTGGCCTCGCAGGAATGTTGAGTCCAACGTGCTGAGCTGGGGGGGCGTGTGGTGGCCTCGCCCTCTCTAACGGAGCTGGGAGGGGCTGCGAGCCCACAGAGGATGGGCAGGGGACCAACACCACGCGCCTGGGGCTCCCTCCCGCAACAGGGCGAACAATGGTAGAGAGGCGCGAGCTGGTGGCCGGAAGAGGAACTGGGGGGTCCGAGGGTCCCCGGGGCCTCTCTCGATCTCAATCCCCAGTTAAAATTGAGGCGCGTGCCCGCCCCACCCTGGGAGAGGCGGAAGTGGGCCGCCGCACCGGGCGCCGCGCCCCTCCCCGCCCTGTGCCCCGGATGTAACGCCCCGTCGCGGAAAGCAGGGTACCGGGCGGGATGGGCGCCGCCGCCTGGGGCGTAGGACTTAGGGGCAACCGAGAGACCCGCTCACGTGCAGCCGCCATTCGCGTCGCTTCCAGGGCAAGCACCCAGTCAGGGCCTGTCGCTGCGCGCCCTAGACCGCGGCCGCCCCCATCCAAGTCCCTCCCTTAGGATCCAAGCCCGACCAGTGCCCCGGACCGCGCAGGCCTCGCAGTACCGTGATGTTGACGAAGGTTTTCCCAGGGACGGCGGCCCAGACGGAGGGCGAGTCCTTGTAGCCCACGATGGCCGCGTCCTGACAGGTCCCGTCCGCCATGAGGTTGTCGATGTAGGCGTTCCACCCGGCCATGGCGCTGCTACTGGGGCTGCTCTCGGCGCTGCTGCTGGGGCCGCGGGCTGGGTTCGAGCTGCCTCGGCTGGCGGGCGGGGAGAGGCGGAGAGCTGGGGAAACACGCTGCCGTCCGGACCGCGGCTCTGCTCACTGTGCAGCAGCCCTCGCACCGCCACTTCCTGCTCCTCCCCCCCCCCGCGATTTTTATTTGCAAAGGACGGTGGGGGCGGGGCCTACTCCCCATTCCCTCCCTCCCCCACTCGCCAACCCAGACAGCCGAACTTTGCAAAGGCAATTTTAAAAATCCCTCCCCCTATTGCAAAATTTGCAGAGTTCGATGGAAAGCGATGTATAAGGATGGGGGGTGGCGGGAGTAGGGTTCGCTCCAATTTGCATTGAATATAAACCGGACTTTGCTATCGGGGCAGAGAGTGAGCCAGAAAAAGGAAGGAAAGAGAAGGGAGGAAGAATTAGCAAGCTGCAAATTTAGCAAATTAAAGAGAGTTCGGGGAGCCCAGGGTTAAACTGGATGACTCCTCCTTCCCCCACCTCCGCCGAAGGGAAGAACCGGCGGGCGGCGGCGGCGGCGGCGCCGCCGCGTGTGCCTGTGCCTGTGCCTGTGCCTGCGCCTGCGCCGGGGACGGGAGAGAGAGCGCAAGGGGCGGTCGGGGCCGGAGCCGGCTGCACGGGAGCGCGCCTAGGCCAACCGATGTAGACCCTCCGGGCAAGGAAGGCGGGCTGAGGACGTGTCTCCGGCCTGGCGGAAGGGGCGGGGGCAAAGGCGTGCGCTCTGCCGCCTCACGACTCTTGATTTTACTTCAAGAAGTAAGAAAGCAAGGGGGGGTTTGGCCAAATCCCTTGGTCGCTGTCACAGCTGAAGGCACCTACTGGGGCCACTTCTGTCCCCAGCGTCTGCCTGGGTCGTGCCGGTTGTGTTCACCAGGGCCCATTCTCGGTCCACAGGATTGTCCCTTCTCTGAACCGGCTGCAGTCCAGGGCCTCACCCCACATCCCAGCCCCGCCCGCCCCGGGCAGGCAATGTCTGGATCGCCGACCGTGCCCCTTGGCCTGGGTCTGCAGAGGTCATTGAGCGCGGACGCCCGCGGGGCTTAACAGGCGGGGCTATTTTTCAAGGCGGAAGAATACTCAAGTTGCAAGAATGACAAGTTTTTCAAGAAGGGGAAAGTCCCTTCCACTTCGGGCCCGTTGGGTTTCCTCGCAGTCAGTTGCGCGCTTGCCGCCACCTGGGAAGGGCGGGGCGTCCGTGCGGCGGCAGCGGTGAAGCAGCCCTCTCGAACCCTCAGCCGAGAGCTAGGCAGCTTCCGGTGCCTGGGCTAGGGGCGCCGGGTCGTGGAAAGCGGCCGGGGCGGAAAGGGACTTGGTTCTCTCTGTCATCCTCCCGAGCGCGGCGCGCAGCCCTGGCGTCCGCTCCGGATCCCACCGTCTCCGACTCCCTTCGAGCCCATGTTCCTAGACAGCCGCGCGGCTGAGTCACCGGCGGGGCCGCACCCGGGCACGTGGCGGCGCTCCCCGCCCGCCATCTCCTGACCCCTGGCCCCTGGCCCGCCGCACCCCTGCCCCGGGGTGGAAAAATCCCGGGAGGAGCGGCTCGAGATGAGAGGCGGGGCGAGAGGAGAAACGGGACGGGTGGCCGGGCAGGTGGCCTGGGGTGGGGGCTGGGAGGCCGCGCAGGCCGGCGGAGCGGGGAGCCGGGGTTGGGAGAGGGCGGCGGGGGTGGGTCACCCTGCGCGGGCTACCCGGGGGCCGGCGGGAAGAACCTCCGAGTTGGGGCAGGCATAGCTGCAGAGGAACTCGGGGCGGACCCTGCAG